ATAAAGGCAATATTAACTGAAGGCATGTGTAAGAGGAAAAAACCTATCAAGTAAACACTTAAAATTCTCATCTGAGAATGCCTTTTCTAGACCTATTATTCACCACTACTAACCGAACCAATCCCCCATTGCTCCATATCTACATCTTGCACCTGCAGCCAGTGGAAAGCCAAAATTCTTTTTAAAAAAAGCTAAGGAATTAAGTATGAGCCATACACACCCAAGCCTGAATCTGCAAAAAAGATTACATCCACTTACCACCTGAAGTACTACACACACTATCAGCCCCATTTCTTACATCTGCCACCTACTTAGTTTCCCTTGGGGCTCAACAAATTTATTTCCCTCCCATTTCAAACTGCTTCCTTCACACAAGTCTGCTTAAATAAGTAGCAGGACATCAGTTGACTTTTGTTACAGAATGTGGAGTACCATTTATGCTGAAAATTCACAGCTGGTAGCCCTAAAAGAAGTTTACTTAGTCAACACCTATTTAATATACCATGATGAAACTGAAGCCATGGACAGACATTACATTTTTAACACAGAAGTGTCAACACACTTTCAAGAGCCACAAAAATGTAGTGCTACGTAAGCGGAGGGAGACGCCAAGCTCCCCAGCTGTAGAGATACATAGTCACTGCAAAGGAGGTGACTTGGACGAGGGGGTAAATAGCACCCTGTTCAAATTTGCTGATGACACTAAGATGTTGGGGGATGTGGGCACGCCAGAAGGGAGGAATAGGCTGCAATAGGACCTAGACAGGTTACAGGGGTGGGCAGATGAGAATAGGATGGGATTCAACGTCAACAAGTGCAAAGTGATGCACCTGGGGGGGGAACAACCGGCACCATACCTACAGGCTGGGGAACTCCCTTCTTGTCAGTACAGAGGCAGAAAAGGATCTTGGAGTCATCATTGATTCCAAGATGAACATGGACCGGCAGTGTGCAGATGCAGTCAGGAAAGCCAACCACACCATGTCATGCATCCACAGATGCATCTCAAGCAGGTACAAGGAGGTGACCCTCCCCCTCTATGCGCACTGGTTAGGGCACAGTTGGAGTACTGCGTCCAGTTCTGGGTGCCGCCTTCAAGAGGGATGTGGACAACATGGAGAGGGTCCAGAGGAGGGCCACTCGCCTGGTCAGGGGGCAGCAGGGCAGGCCTTACGAGGAGAGGCTACGGGACCTGAACCTGTTCAGCCGTCACAAGAGAAGGCTGAGGGAGATCTAGCTGCCTGTTACAAACTAGTCAGAGAGGACCAGCAGGCACTGGGGAAGTCCCTGTTACCCCGTGAACTACCAGGAGTGACCAGGAATAACGGTCACAAGCTGGCAGAGGGTAGATTTAGGTTAGATATCAGGAGGCGCTACTTCACGGTCAGGGCGGCTAGGATCTGGAACCAACTTCCAAGAGAAGTGGTGTTGGCTCCTACCCTGGGGGTCTTTAAGAGGAGGCTAGATGTACACCATGCTGGGGTCATTTGACCCCAGTACTCTTTCCTGCCATGGCAGGGTGTCAGACTCGATGATCTGCTCAGGTCCCTTCTGACCCTAGAAACTATGAAACTATGAGGTGTGATAGGGCTGTCAGTGAGCACACAGCAGTGCCCAATCCCCAGGAGTGGAGCTACTACCTGTGCGCCCCCACACAAAAAAAACATCCCCTTCAGCACAAGAGTGTCAGTGATCAGGAAGCAGCTCCAGGTCCCCCAAACCTACCACCCACTGCCCAGCTTCCAGGGGAAAGAGAATATTGGAGCATTAGGTAACTGTCCACCTTGCTCTTCCTCCCTCCTCTCTTGTTGGGGGGAGGAAGAGAGAGGGGTAGGAGAGGAAACAGCATTGTGGAATGCCGCAAGACTGTGAGACCCCACAGTGTTTACACATCATACGTGGAGCTACAAAATGTAGCAGTACAGAGAAGCTGCTGTTTCATCCAGCAACACTTCTGTAGAGCTTATGCTATTTTTGTAGCCCTACAAATGCAATGCACATCCATGCCTAGAATATGAAATGTAATGACCCATATGCTTAATAATGAAAAATAACTGTAAGGGAAAATTTCTGGGATATGTGATCTGAGCAACGAATTAAGTTTTCTGCTTAGAATTGAAACAAGAGATAGCAGTGACCAACTGAACGTGGCTGCCCAACCTCCCTGTTTGAAAACAGATCCACAATAGCAGGGGTCTAAGTTTCTCAGCAGCAAAGCAATTGGTGAATATGACCCATGCTTTCTGACAGGAGCACTAAACTCAAGAGAAAGATATTTCAGATAGAAATATAAATTAAGTATGACACTTCATTGCTATATAAAAGGTTGACTGTATTTAAAAAGGTAAGTTACTAGCTTGTTTTTTTAGTTACATGTAGCTTAAAGCCAATGAAATACTATTTGAAGGGTTTCCTTGGGATCTAACATATTTATCCCAGTGTGCTTTATGTTCCATCAGACACTAGAGTATCTTGAACTTTTTGGCTTCAGGTTATAAAAGCAGTATTTAAAGATTTGCTTCCTAAAAACTCTGATTTACCAACAAGGCTCTCAATTCAAATTAGAACCCCCTGAAGAATGAAAGAAAGTTAACTTAATATTTGCCCTTAAATTTCAATACAAATTAAATACTGATCAAAAGTAGGTAATTTATACAGATCACCTTACCTGCATATTCATAGAACCATTCTAGGCACCTCTTACTTGAAAAGACTTCTTCCTCTGCTTTTATTCTAGTTGAATCATATTTTCTATACATGCTAAAAATAAAGAAAACAATTCAATTTATTTAATAAGTTAATTTAAAAACTGTTTTAGTCAAGAAATAATTAATAGCCAATGCAACTGTCAAAACCATTTTTGTAGTGATTAGTATAAATATTAGCATTTTTCTTAGTATCTTGACCACGTCATGTCCTATGATTTGCACAACTGCATAACTAAGTACCAGTAAAAGTAAATACTATGTCTGTTCAAAAGCTGAATCAAGTACTTGGAATTCCAACTAGCATCACATGCATGCCATCACAAGCACTAAGAGAAATTATTTATGCAGTAACAGAGATTCATCAAGACACTGCAGTGCCGGTAGTCCCAACTATAGGTAAACACTTTAATAGCACCATCCATTAGGAATATACCATCCGTGCCCCATTTTGATCCCATATGAGGGCAGAAAGGTGGAGATCCACAACCCTCCCCTAGTTTCCTCCAAAGCCCAAACTGTCAAAGTCTCCGAAAGCAGGGACTGAGGTAGGCAGCAGAATCCAAACTGACATTTCAAGAACCAGCTTTACTGTAGGTCAGGGTGGATAAAAATCAACAGTTAAAAATAAATAAATAAACAAATAAATAAATAAATAAATAAGATTTTTTTTACTTAGATGTTTTCGATTTAATCCTATTTTTAAGATGCTTTAAAAAATAAACCTATATAAAGATCGTTTTAATTTAAGATATGTTAAAGATTGAAAATATCACCACGGAATAGGGATTATAACTTCTAATTAGATATTATTTGAGACAATATATTCATGTAACCTTTTTAGAAAAGTTTTATAAATAGGTCACAACAGGCCATGGACTATATTAGAGGCTTCTCTATAGATTAGTAAAGATTAAAGAAAACCACTCTACCCAACGGGACTCAGTGCTCTGTCTCTAGAAGATCCCATTAAGCATCTTGGTGATGCTTAGTTTCGGTTCTCAAACTGTGGATTTGCATCTCCAGGGATAACATCCTTATTAACAGCAGTACATGGAGATGAGAGATAAAAGACCTGATTACCTACCCATCAGCAGCCCCATTGTCTCTCTGCAAGTTTGTGTACACAGAGTCAAGCCCTCACCTCTCTCTAAAACTGCAAAGTTTCAAGAAGTTAAATGAATAGAGGGTTGTTGGGGATGAAGTAGACCTGGACAAGGAGAAAGAGTCTGGAGATAAACGCAAAGAGGGAGGGGAAAAGAAACAAAAGAGAAACATTTTGAGCAGACTATGCCAGAAGTCTTGAGGGATAAGTTTCTGAGACACAACCGCTCTAATGATTTCAGATCTAGTGAAGGAATGGTATAGTAGAAAGGAAAACCTATCATGGCAGCTGGCTTGCCAGGCCATAAAAGAGGAGAAATCAAAGATGAGAAGAAATCTAGAAGAAAGTGAAGACACCCCAAAGCTAATAACATATAGCTGCAGGGCTCATTTGATGTCCTCCTAATACAGCATGGCAAAAAGATCCCCCAAATATCCATGATTAATCTAGTGAATTGGAGATAGTTCACCTCCCAATGACTTCACAAGTATCTGCTTCAATTAGTTCTGGTAAATAAAATAATCAAATCATAATTCAGTTTTCTGATGTAGTTGTAAAATTAATCTGAAAAAATGTCAAAATAAATCATTGCTTTCAAATGTATAGTGTGTACCTTCTAAAATAAAATCTACATCTATCTCTGAGTTATGAATAATGTGCATTAACATTATATCAAGCAAGAATGCACTTTTTGTAGAAAACAATGATTAAATCAATACTTCCTAACCAGTGATTTAAATCGTGGTTTAATCAGGGGTACTTGTGAAGGCCCTAGGGGGCACACGCAGGTGGGCAGGGATGGAACACCACCACCCACCACCCCATGCTACCCCTCCCCTCCCACTCCATGTCCAGCCACACGTCCCCCACCCTGCAGCCGGGGGTACACTTATTAATTAAGGTTGAAAATCCCCTGGTTTAAATCATGATTTAAATCAATTTGATTTAAATCAAATCCACCCTGCAGTAGGTTGAGTAACCACTCAAATTCCTATATTAATATACATATCCTACTGAAAGTGACTAGGCAAAGCAGTATCCCCTTTGGATGTCCCCTTGGCATCTACTTCAACTGTAACGTAAAAAGCGTAGTACAGTAAAAGTCCTGTTTTCCAGCATAAGTAGGGAATGAAGGGTGCTGGTAATCTAAAAATGCTGGTTACCTGAGATACAGGGGTTTCCAGCTGGACTGGAGCCAGGGAGGGGAGGGGAGTGGTGGCCGCACGTGGAGTGGCAACAGCACGGGGTGGTGAGTAGTGGCGGCAGCAGCTGCCACGTGTAAGCTTTTCCCCCTGCATCCGGCCAGCCAGCCAGAAGTTCCAGTTAACAGAAATGCTGGTTAGTAAAATGCTGGATAACAGGGCTTTTACTGTATAGCAATGAAGTTGGCTGTATCATTGTAAAGCATATTTCAAACAGGTACATCTCTGAAACAGGCAGGCTGCCAAAGTGTTCCACATTTTTGAGGGAAAAGAATAGCTAGCCATCTAATGGTTGATAGATATGTGTTGTGTAATTCGTTTCAGCGTTCTCTGCTCCAAGTTTCTGATGCCTTTTGATACACTGGCCACACAGAGTCATAGAAAAGAATAAAAGAGTGTCCTAAAAGACTTAGTCCTTTCGAAGTAATATAGCATGACTCTGAAGTTACTCAAAGTAGGCAGCATTATCTCTTCCACTGTAGTACATAGCTTCAGAAGACAACTACTCAGTTGACTCACTGGTTCCAGAGGAATTCCAAAAAGCATCCCTTTAGGGTATTTGGTGGATGGGTTCATCACTCTAGATGATTAACAAACTGGAAGATGGGATGGAGTGCACTCTCAACAGGTCTGTGGAAGACACCAAGCTGTGGGGAGTATCAGATATGCTAGAGGGTGGGGCTAGGCTTCAGAGTGACATAGACAAATTGGAGGACTAGGACAAAAGAAATCTCATGAAGTTCAACAAGGACAAGTGCAAAGTCCTGCACTTAGCACAGAACAATCCCATGCACTGGTACAGGTGTGGGACCAACTGGTTAAGCAGCAGCTGTACAGAAAAGGACCTGAGGATTACAGTGGACAATAAATTAGATACGAGTCAAGTGTGCCCTTGATGCTAAGAAGGCTAACAGCATACTGGGCTAAATTAGTAGAAGCATTTTCAGTAGATCAAGGGAAGTAATTATTCCCCTCTATTCTGCACTGATAAGGCCACATCTGGAGTACTGTGTCCAGTTTTGGACACACCCTCCCCACCACACTACAGAAAGGATATAGACAAGTGAGAGAGTGTCCAGCAGAGGACAACGATAATGGTGAGAGGGCTGGGGGGACATGACTTCTAAGGAAACGCTGAAGGAACTGGGCTTAGACTGCAGAAGAGAAGACCGAAAGAGGAGTTGATACCAGCTGTCAACTATCTGAAGGGTGGTTCCAAAGAGGATGGAGCTAGGCCGGGACAAGCAATTATTTTGGATGGAGGGCCACTTACTGAGTTTTGGCAAGTCATTGAGGGCCACATGACAGGCAGCCAGGGGCAGACGAATATTAATTTACTAAATTTTTTAGGGGTCCTGCATGCCAGATAGAATGGCCTGGCAGGCCGCATCCAGCCCCCAGGCTACATTTTGCCCACCCCTGAGCTAGACTAGTTGCCAGTGACAGAATAAGGAGCAATAACCTCAAGTTGCAAGAGAAGTTTAGGTTCGATATTAGGAAAAACTCTCTCACTAGGAGGGTGATGAAGCACTTAAGCGGTTTACCTAGAGAGGTGGTAGACTTTCCATCCTTGGAGGTTTTTAAGGCCCGGTTCCACAAAGCCCTGGCTGGAATGATCTAGCTGAGGATGATCCTGCTTTGAGCAAGGGGTTAGGACTAGATGACCTCCTGAGGTCCCTTCCAACCCTAATTTTCTATGATTATGCCTGTGGTATCGCTAGGTTGTTTTACCTAAGAGTTGGAAGTCCCTCAACTCTCCAAGCTAAGAGCCACAAAACAGCATCTAAAGGGATAAGGGGATATATTGAGCACTCCTTCTAATTCAAAAGGCAACTTCAGAAGCTCTAAGACAGTGGTGGGAAAATACTGCCTGCAGGCTGCATCCAGCCCACCAGGCCATTCTATCTGGCCCACAGGGCCCCTCAAAACATTTAGAAAATTAAAATTTATCTGCCCCTGGCTCCTGTCAAAGATGACAGGAGCCAGGGGCAGTAGGACCCAGGGAAAGCCCCGGCAGGCTCCTGCAACAGCAGGGCCTGCCCTACCCGCCCCCCACAAGCCAGAAGCCCCTGCCTAATAGGGGCTTATGGCCAGGGACTGTGGAGCTTTTCGTGGTTGCACCAGTGCAGGAAATTCAGGTGGGTGGAGGACTGCAGGGACCTCCCCAGTCTTCAGGGCCAGGCCACCTCCTGTGAGCTCCACAGTCCAGCCATGCAGCCAGGAGCTGGCAGGAGGGAAAGCAGCTGCGGTGGTTGGGGGTGGAAGCAAACAGAAGTGCAGGGCCTGTGCAGGTGTCCTGGGGCCAGCACCAGCGGGGTCCACAGTGGGGTGGTAAGAGCACAGGATGTGGGCTGACAGGGGTCTGTGGAGCCAGGCTGGGCTGCACCAACAGGGAGCAGAGGGAGCTGGCCCAGCTCCATACAGCCCCTGCTGGCTGGGACCCCACGCTCCTCCTGTCCTGCTCTAGGCCCCACTGGTGCAGGCCCCAGGCTCCCAGCCAGCTGTCACTGGCTTCTGTGCACCCACTCACTCCCAGTGCCCCTGCCCCAGTCCCATGCAGCCCCGACCCTGCGCACCCCATGCTCACCCACAGGCAACAAGCTGGTGCTCATCGCAGGGGAAAAGTGTCCCCCCTCCCTGTGGTCAGAGCCCCATACTGCAACTGCTTGCAACCCACATGGAGCTGCCACACCCCAGGGCAGCAGTGGCAACGGAGAACAGGCACAGGCAGCCCTGCGTGGACTCCCA